CACAAAAAATGGGAAATTCTAGCTCTAACTTAAAAAGCAAACTAAAAAACTTGAAGGAAAATACAACAGAAAAAGGCTGCATTAAAAGTCATACAAACACAGTTCTCCTGGTCATTAGTTTCATAGAAACTAGAAATAATTTTGCTGCAATTTTTAAGGCTTTATAAACTAAAAAAACCACTCATGTTTTCATACAGGGAGGGAATTTTATTTTTATATAGGTATTCTATATCTATTTATATAGGTTTTTTTTCTTATGTTTTTAACCACTTAATGGTATCCAAATTTTTAAACTTAAGGAATATAATGACCTGCAGCAACCTCAAAAATTCCTCTAAGTTTAAAAATATCGAGACAGGTTAATTCTATTTAAAAAAAAAAAGAGATAGTTAAAAGCAAAGCATTATTCACAAAGGTTGATGGGCTAAGATTTATGGGGCCTTTGTTTCTGTCTCTGGAGATCATGAGATGGAAACCCCTGCAACACCCTGGCAGGCACGAAACCCAGAGATCAGCCCTACTGCAGGTGCAGCTTTCACTGGGCTCCCCACGGAAAGATGGGATTTGCTGCAGTCAGTACCCCACGTTTAATATTAAAGGAGATTCTTCCTTTCTATGAAGGTAAATTTTTCAGTGCACTGTGCAATTTAGGAGGGATCAATGGTAGGACAGATGAAGGAGGGCTGGTGAGTTTTATGCTCCCGTTGCCGTCGTACGTTAAAATCAATGGGGCACAATCTCAGTGAATTAAAGCGTGGTGCTCTGAAGCTGGAGCTCTCATTTCATTTCCACTGCTCTCTGGACAGGTTTGGCGTTTGTTCTGGAGCCTGGTGACAGTAGACATCCTTCATGGTGCTTCAGCAGTGGCCTGTCCTCCAGTGATAAGCTATAATGGATCTGTCTGTAAGAAATGCTGTCTTGCCTTGTTTCCAAAAGGAGATGAGAAACAGCTTCTGCTCTCAAATACTGTATTAACCTTGACAATAATGAAGTGGGTAATTAACTGTTGTGCCCTAATACGACCTTGCATTTATTGTCTTTAAAACTACTATACTTTACACACTCGTTGGGAATATATCACCCTTTGTCCTCCTGGAGCTGGGTTTTCAGAAGTCGATGAGGATTTAAAATCTCTGTCATGTGCAGGGTAAAAGAAAAAAAAAAAGGTCTTTTAAGGAAATATCACCCTTATTAACTCTGATTGTGCTTCCAGCTAGCTTCTCCCCTCATTTGCATTATACACAAACTAAAAGCACAGCCTCTGCATATCTGAAAATCAGGTTTTTTTCCTTAAGAAAAGGTGCATAAAGCACAGCTGGTTAGTTAAACCAGCCTGAAGTGTAAGTGATGGATGTGTTGCTGATTTATCTTCTGGTGTTGCAAGACATTCTAAGTATTTGAAGTTGTGTTCATGGCACCACATCTTACTCCTCTACGTAAGAAATGAGAACTGGGGAGAAAAACTGATCCTTGTCATCATATCACAAGGAAAACTCTGGTTTTCCCTGGAAGTTTTTCTAGCTGCAGCCAAGGGTCTAAGGGCTGTCAGGGGTCTGCAGCTGACCTAATCTCACCAGAAGAGACTGAGATCTCAGACCAAAGGAAGTCCTTGTAAGAGCTCAAAATAGCTGGAGATCCTCAAAATTCCTGAAGATGGGCATGAGCATGCAGCAAAACTTTTGCTTTTTCCAGCTTGAGGTGAGCTCCCTTCCCTTGTTTGTGAAGATAAATTTTAAGGCTGAGCTGCCATTTTCAGGTCTGGCACAAAGACCAGGCTCAAAGAGGAAGATGGGAGACCTTCATCCTGAGACAGAGTTGGAGATGATACAAACTGTTCAAGTTAGGAATATGTACTGCACTTGGGCAGCTGCCTCCTGACCTCAGCAGGCAATGAGAAGATCCAGCCAGCCAGCCAGATGGGCCAGCACCAGTGACCTGCACCAACCAAACACCTCACTGCCCCCTGGTAGTACAAACCATTAAGCTAAGTGGGAAGTTTGGGGTGCTCCTGCTATACAGCATTACCCTGGAGACATGCCTTATGCCACAGAAACTCAGCAGATACATGGTGAGAAACAGTGCTGGGTGGGAAGAGACATTTATCACTCTGCACCCTCCAGGAGTGTCCTGCAGCATCTGCTCCAGTTTTGATCTACAGCCTGTCTACAAAATGGCTAT